TCTCAACAGCTTACTTTGAAAAACGTTTTAAATTGAACTCTTTTCTGGAAGTTAATTATACCTTAACATTTTTTAGTCGATTTGTGTGTGTCCTACTAGACGTCTATTCTTGTTGATCACTTTGCGAGATAAAGGCGGTCTCTGCTCCAATGTTGACTGCAGACAATTCATAGATGATAAGTCTTGCTGATTGAACGCTATATTCGGATCCTAAGCTAGCCTTGTGACCCTTAAGCTAAATCTACACAGCGACTTGAACACGAGAGAAAAGGTGCAAAATATGCAAGAGACACGACAAGGGTTCATTTATATACAGAAATTATAGGGTTTTTGTAGTATTTTAGAAGTCCTTGGGTTTTCCTGAAAATTCTGGAATGCTACTAAACATAGTAGCAGTGTAGTTATCAGCCAATCAGAAACTCTGCACGCTACTTTTCACTTTCGTGATGTTTCTAGCAAAACTTCTAGTCAATGCCGATTGGATTAAATGCTGCTCAATATTTCCTGAGTCTTTCTTGTCTATTGCGAGATATTATCAAGATCGCCCCAACAATAGAGTTATTTGTTTCCATTTCCAATATGTCAAGCAATGTTGTAGAGGATTAATTCCTCTATATTTTACTTCAATAAATAACTAATATCCCGTTAACTGAATATTTAAGGCAGGCTAAATCTCCTAGTACAATTATGGGTTTACTCGAGATTATTCAAAAACCCAGACACCAGTTATAAAGATAGTTTATTGTGAAAGACTGACACACAAATTTACAAAGTGGATTAAATGTCTAAATTATAGAGAGTACACAAATAATACAACAGTTGAATGGGCTTGCTACAATATGCGTAACAATCGTTATACATACTATGCGCTCACGTCAGATACATGTACATTTAGTTGGCTTCTGTATCTAGTGTGTGTTTACTCTAATTTGCACCTCATAAATTACTGACGTTTACCGCTTGCTTACAGAGCGTATTGAGGACGACAGACACTTACGTACACCTTTCAACAACTGAAGTGGTTGAACGTTTTTGTTTCCTTGGAAGTAAAGCCGCATGAGACGAAATAGCGGAAAAGAACTACATATTACGGAGGATATGAGAACAGTCAAAACAGTAACTACAACGGATGAAGAATGAATCAATTTGAAATGAGATTAATACAAAATAATGAAGTTGAGTGAACAGAGTAGTTGCAACAATCTACGGTGTATGTCGTAAAGAAGAATGGGAATGAAAGCCAACACACAAAGAAACTAGTATTCATGTGACATCTTAGAAGGCTTGTCGATCAAAAATAGATAGTTATTCAATTAAATGAACTTCATTGGGTTTGACTGATCAGGAATTTTTAGTTGGACAAGTGCATTTTACCACAACTGACCTGATGGAGTGCTCACACATCATTTTTAAAACACTATAGTACCACTGTCTATACAATTCGATCAATATTAGGAACTAAATAACATATATATATATATATATATATATGCCAATGTCGGTGACTGAGTGGTTGAATAATAGACTAAACACTTTTAGACTAATGATACTGTCTATTGATGCCAGTGTTTTAGTAATGAACTTCGTAAAACAAAAAAACACATGATGTCCTGCTGTATTTGTTCCATTTTAGTATTTACACTTTCTCCTTAGAAATGTTGTTAATGAACTATTCGGAAGATTTGAACTGAAAATTCATTTGTTGTTTGAACACTACATTTTGTTTACAACAAAATCTCATGTCTATTATAGTAACCTAATCTATGTTTATTTTTAAAATAAACTAATTGATGAAATTGTTACTATGTTGATGGAAATGTTGACTATCAATTTTAGAAAAGTGCCTTATAAATAACCAGATTTATACTTTGAACAAAGAAAACATTAATCGAAAAATCCAGTTCGAATTATTTGCCTATGATTCTAACGGTACTCTGAAAAACTTCATGTTTTCATTTACCCAAACAATGATAAGATATAGTCGTCAATCTAGCGCATTGGTGGCAGCACCACAAACACAACTGACTTCACCAATACCTACAAATAATATGAGAGTCGAACGCTTAGACTTAATTATAATTACTAGTGACTTGGTCTGATTTGTTTCCTACAGTGTTTGTATTTGTTTGGGTTGTTTATTTTTGAGTTGAAAAAGTAACAAAACATCAGAAATGTTTTCTACTGATGGGGTTACTATGAATACATCATTCTCATGACAAGATATGACTTCATAAAACATTCAAGTACAAGGTGGACAAACTCACTCCCTACTTTCTAGAAACTGAGAACCTTAAATAAATCGAGATTCTTGAAAATGAAGATTTTACCGCGTTCTTTTTTTGTCAGATCTCTATTTGCTCATCTCAGCTAGTCCACTTAAGAGATAAGTGAATATAGTTTACTTAGAAAACGTTTGCAGCTTTCACGAATTCTAAAGGTCAAAATGAAATATCAAATACACTTACAGGCTTGATTGAATCAAAATCTATATAGACGACTCTACTACTAACAGAAAGTCTTGTCAATGAATAAGCCAACCTTTGAGAACGAATGTAAATATATTTGAATTAATCAATCGGCGGCCACTATCAATTTGCCTTAATCACTTAAATGAGTGTTACTTTAAGAACTCTATTTTCGAATAGGCGGAAATCAGCTGCAAACTGAATCATTTTATTACAAAACTCTTAATCAGAATAAATTTGGATAGACTCTCTCATAAACTGTAAATATGGGGAACAGTGGCACTGATTCGTCTAACCCTGATATTTCAATGTTGTCTACCGCCATTTCTGAATCTAACTCAGTATACTGCTGTTACGTATTTTCTTATTTAAGTAATAATAGTTCGGACGACTAACTCTTTTAGGGTAATCCTCATACTGAAACAACGTTTTTCCCATAAATACCAATTAGTTAAGTGCGATTTATTCTAAATATTCAGCCAAGCAACTCCGCAATTTATCCATACAAATTTCCCGATCATCATATGAAATAAAACATCACACAAACAACTCTTCCCTGGAGGTTGACTGGCTTCATTATATGACACTAAGTGTATAATACAATACTTAAAGGTAGATCAACACCTTTCTAATGTCACTCCCACTTATGAATTTGAAAGTACTTGTGGTGGCATTTATGCAGAAAGAACTGAAGAAAGTGTTTTTACGGGTTTTTTCCCAACATGTATTCGAGAAAAACTATGTCTGATAAGTAGTAAATTTACACAAATATAACTGTCAGGCTCTTTATAGATAGTGGACACAGTATGAATACCTTCTAAAGCATCCAAAATAATTGACGAACAAACACCAACTATACTCCGCTTTACAAGGATCATTACGATCAAATGTTACAGACCTGATCTATGTGGGTGGATGGAAAATGTGACAAAGCTCTCCTTAAAATGGTAAACAGAACTGTACTCGAATACTTTTATTGTTGCATAACATTGTCGGTGTTTACGCATTGATTTGATTTTGACTTTATGAAATCACTTATAACTGTTAGCTAACTCTACTTCACATTACCAGTTATTTCCGAGGTTTTCTTGCCAACATTAACAATGGCCTCATTTAGCAGTATATGTAACATCTTTTTCAATCTACTATGATTTTTGGATCTGTTTTAAATACCTATCTCAAGTTCGCTAATTACAGCATATACAATCTGTTTCGAATCATATTGCTCTGTAACTTTGTGCTGGCCACAGCTGATGAGGAGCCTTCAGAAGAGGAAAAATTTATTTCATTCTGTAAATCTCGTTGTTTGCGTTTTTTTTAAGATTCATCAAGTTGTACGAAGTAATTTACTAACTGGCCAGCGAATATATAGCCTCTGCCAGGGAAGTCCTACTCACTACCTTCTAGTGGCGGGGGTGTTGTTTACGAAAGTGAGAGGACGAAAAGCGAATATCCGGCGCTTTAACCGGGTTGGTGGACAAGGTGAGTCCACCTATGGGGAGTTGGAAAACCCTGATTCCAAACCAGTATCCTGAGGGAACAAATGGCGTACGAATCAACCGTTGATCACCGGCTACCATGGGACTGCATCTCCTCACGATGCTCCACTGCCTTGTGGATCAGACATTCAGGTCAAAGGCTCCGTGTGTGGCCCCTTAAGAAAACCACCCGCTTCAGTCTGGGCACCTGGGCAGTATCACAGCCCTCACACAAATCGAATGAGATTTGTTTGGCGCATATTTATCTGGTGCTTCCTTGTACCAATATGTATGTGTTTAAATAAATAAATAAATAAAAGGTCAGTTTCAATAGATGAATTTACCGACCATCAGGACGGAAGACCCACTTGATGCATAAAATGGCATAATTCAGATCCAGATAGGCGGTTTGAAATGAACGAGCCTTATACACAGACAGCTCGGTAGTAAAATGATTACATATAACAGTAAAGTTGATTGATTACATTTTTCCACATAGGTCAATGTATATTGACCAGATAAATGATTTATTTTGCATTATTAAGGTTTTTTCGCATACCTAGTTGGTGGACTTCTAAAAATGACCGTAGAAGCTTATGAAGGAAACTTGCCTGAACGTCAGATATAATCATCCTATCAGCTGAGTATTGGCAACATGAATTCGAGCAAGGAAAAATGAGGCGCTGAGATGAAAATAAGCTTTTAATATGTATATTTGTCGAAAGTTACAAATATTTACATTATGATTAAGCAGTAGCAACCAGGTCGAACATATAGTGTATTCAAAATGATTTGTAATTATAAGAACAAAATATGATAAACAAAAATACCCAGAAGTGTAGATTGAATTTTGAATTTTAAAAGAGATTCACTCCATCGTGCACAGATTTGCGTGGACGAGTGTTTCATTTAACGATTTTATTATTGCACGAATCGAAAACCAGGTTAAAATTGTAACTGGATGTTGAAATGTGAGCATCATGGATGATCAGTCCAGGCAAGAAAATCATATTCAAAGTTTAGATACATAAGATACTTAGAACAGAAAAAGACACTTTCAAGTTACTTTTTTTTTAAGTGCACTTTGAACATGGTTGGTTCCAACGTCATCTTCTCCATCATTGGCTTCATAAACCCTATGAGGCTCTCCTGGCTTCAAAAGTCGTCCAATATGATCATAACGCTCTGTAGTACAAGACAAGAGTTGTATTTACTTTTACTGAAACAAACAGTTTATAAAAACCATGTGGTATACTCACTTTTCAGCACAACACCGACTTCGGTGGCTTGGACATGTTTTACGAATGTCGTCCCAGAGACTTCCACGTCGTGCATTATTTGCCGACCCTGGGACTGGTTGGAGAAAGCGGAGAGGAGGTCAGTGTATGACATGGTGTCGTGGCATGAAAGAGAGCTGCAAAGGGCTAGCTTTTGTTGGTCCTTCACGACTCCCTGGTTGGGGTCCGAGAGATAGTGCAACACAGTGGCTAGAGACGTTATCGGATATGGCTCAGAATAGAAGCCAGTGGCGATCCTGCTGCAACCTTCTTTTACTTTGTACATAAAGAATGGTTCTAACTTTCCTAACTGAAGGAATCTTCTGGTTGTACATTTCAGTCCGCCTTATCTTTTCATCCTTTATCTACCTACTTTCATTATTTGTGTGGCGCATATGTACCTGGTGCCCTTTTGTACCAATATATATGTGTTTAAATAAAATAATAAATAAAATAACTTTTCAGCACAAAGTATACACAAACAAATTTGAGGTGTGATTTGTACTTACTTAAAAACTATGTCAGTCCAAATAAGAACTATCGTGGATGTACTATAAAGCTAGGTGGTTTGAGTAAACGAATACCAGATCTTATCAATTCAAGTACACTAAGTCAATGTCTTGAATACATTCTCTCTTGTGAAGTTATGGCCGCTTATATGTTTATTATTAGTGACAATGAGACTTTAAGTCCAAATGATAGTGTATATGATCGATGTGCAGTGGTGCTGATTAGAATATTATCAGCATCAGATGCGTCCTGATGACGAATGTCAGTTATTTCGAGACTTATAATAAGGGTTTCTTATTGGTTTGGTGTAATCACATAATACAGAATCATTATTACATTCACCTATGGAGTGGTTGCTTGTTGCTAAGATCAGACACTGTTCGGACAATCAGATAGTATTATTGACATTTATACAAAGATGTGTGAGTTATAGACGAGTACTAATTCACATATCCTTTTTACAATTTTCAACTAGGTTCTGTGAATGACCGATAGGTTATAACAGACCGATACCAAACAAAATCATAGCGATGATATCTAGGCGATACAAAACCATTGCATATCCCTATGGTCAAAAACTTGAGGACAGTAATGTGCGTTAAAGATAACTTCTCTCATTGGGATATGCCACTCTAACTAACTATGTACTTTTTATAACATGTCTTCACACCTCATAATATAACATCAGTACCACATTTCTTGCCAACTTACATCACTTGTTGCGTAGGCAAGATGTTTGACTGCCAACCAAAAGACGTGTGCATTGCGCCTCAGTTCGTTTAATTCTACTTTGTGGGTGTGATAAGGCCTTTAATTTATTATTACTATTTATCTAAACACATAAATATTGGTACAAAGGAAGCATCAGATACATATGCGCCAAACAAATCTCATTCGATTTGTGTGAGGGCTGTGATACTGCCCAGGTGCCCAGACTGAAGCGGGTGGTTTTCTTAAGGGGCCACACACGGAGCCTTTGACCTGAATGTCTGATCCACAAGGCAGTGGAGCATCGTGAGGAGATGCAGTCCCATGGTAGCCGGTGATCAACGGTTGATTCGTACGCCATTTGTTCCCTCAGGATACTGGAGCCCATTTGCACCACTGGTTTGGAATCAGGGTTTTCCAACTTCCCATAGGTGGACTCACCTTGTCCACCAACCCGGTTAAAGCGCCGGATATTCGCTTTTCGTCCTCTCACTTTCGTAAACAACACCCCCGCCACTAGAAGATAGTGAGTAGGACTTCCCTGGCAGAGGCTATATATTCGTTGGCCATATGAGAGCATTTCGAGAGGGAGAGCGAACTCTCCCCACTCTCGGCCGTACCAGGGCATTTGGGGGCTTTAAAGGCACAGGGTATTTGTAGGTTACTGGTATTTGATTGCAGATGCCTTCAGAACATTCTTAGCCCCTGTAGGAACCATCGAGTGACCAATACTTGGTATAGACGCAAGATACTACCTGAAGATATCAAGTCAATTGACAGGGTAATCAATTTTTACCGACTCAGATGGTTGAGACATGTGTTCTTCACGTCTAGCCACCGTCTTTCTCAATGAGAATATTGTTGGTATGGGAGTGAATCAGAGGAAAGTTAGGAGCAACCGAAACAAGAGCTGGGATCAGTCTACAATACCAGTGACAGTTGAACTGAGCTGTGTCGGTAGGTTTAAAAAATAATAAGATTAGGCTCCACACTGGTTGAAAACTGCGTGAAATGGCGCATCATTTCATATGTATTCACTGTTTGTCTTTCCTTGCATTATGGGCTTCAAAATTACACTATACCTTTTTCATTCATGAACCCATTTTCCCAAATCATATTTTACGGATCTGACCTTTTCTACCGCTACTGATATAGTCACTAATTTTACCATTGAAGGATAGGTCTTGATAATTTCATTTAATTGTGATATGGCAAGGAAACTTGGATTGATGCACATTAGCCAGGTTCTACGTAGCATGTGAGTGACTGACATGGTAACAATGACTACCATATACGCTTTAGCCTATCTTTAGGACCAGTATTTCAGCACAACTAGATAAAGTGCAAGGCGAACACTAAACAGATTAGTTTATGTGATGAATTGTAAGGATAACAGCCATTAGATAGCTCAAAATAAACACCGAAGATTTTGAGCCTTAGCTCAGTCTGCATCCTTATCCTTGTTACAGTAGTACATTGAAAGTGATTTTCAAGTGAACTAATAAACGTGAATCATGGAGCAGCCAAGTAATTGAAAGTAAATCCAACGGCGAGACTACAATTTACGGACGAAACCTATGAAATTGAGGTAGGAAGTCTTAGATTTTGATGCGAAATTCATTCATTTATACGATTATAGCTGATGGCAGTTCGTGATGAAGACCTTTACTTTAATTTCTAACCTCTTCAAGGGTTATTGCCGATCCTAAGACTGAGTAAAGGAGATGGGTTGAGTATGGGGTCAGCAGCCACATCCCGTAGAAAACATTCTTGCGAAAGAGAGCTAATCATGAGAAAGTCTAAGTCATTTAAAATGTGCCTTGTGAGCTGAAAGAGCTTCTTTAGAAGAATGACGACACCTCATGGTGAAAGCTGAGATCCTTCGGAAAAAAAAGAACGATTAATGTAGGTAAACGGAATGTCCAGATAATGACGGAGACCGGAATCATCAATTAAATAGCTGCGGAAATAAGGAGATACAACTTAGTGGTGTTTGAAAACAGTGAAACCCATTAAACCCAAGCTGGACAGAAAAGGTTAGGTACGGGAGAGATGCTGCTGTACTCTGGTCACAAAGAAAATGTTTCGCACACGCAAGCAGTTGCACTGATGCTGTCCAAAGAAGCACGAAAAGCACTCATAAAATGAGAAACTCGTGAATCCAGGATCATCAAAGCATCATACAAAACAAAGAAGGAGGGAATTATGACGAATATTATTCACTGTTATGCATACACCAATGATAGCAATAAAGACGATAAAGATCAGTTCTACGAGAGACTGCAATCGATCGTAGAGAAATGCACAAAAAAGGACCTGAACATTCCGGTGACAAACCTAAATGTGAAAGCTGAGATGGACGACACCGGGCAGGACTATGTCATGGGACGACATGGACTGACTGAGAGAAAGGGACGAGAATGGTGAGAGATTCGCAAATCTATATGCATTCAGCAAATTGGTCATATGTAGCACAATATTCCCCCACAAACGCATACACAAAGCTACATGGATCTCACTGGATCACAATACAGAGAACTAGGTCGATTATATCTGTCACCAAAAAATTCAGATCAATAGAAGACGTGAGAACCAGAAGAGTTGACATAGCTTCAGATCACCACCTGGCCGTGGACAAGATGAAACTTATGCTAAAGAAACAATGGACAACTGGATAAACAACATTACAAAGATTTCATACTGCCTTCCTTCAAGATACAAACTTGACGAATCCAAGATAGCTCTCAACAATAATTTTCGAGCCTTCGAAGAATTACTCGAAAAATGGGAAACTACTATGGAAGACAACAGCAGAGGGATTAAAGAAACACTAACTTCAACGTGTCAGGAGGTTCTGGGCCGCAACAAGCATCATCAAAAGGAATGGATCTCTAACGAAACCCTGGACAGGACTCAACAAAGGAAGAACAAGAAGACAGCAATCAACAACAATCAGAAAAGAAGAGATAAAGCCAAGACATAGACCAAATACATAGAAGCAATCATCAGTGAAGAAGAGTATTAGAGCCAACAAGCAGAAATACGTAGAAGACCTAGCAAGGACAGCGGATAGAGCTGCAAGAGAAGGAAATGTCGGGCAACTATATGACACAACGAAGAAGCTAGTAGGGAAACATAGCAAACCGGAACGACAAGCTAAGAGAAAAGAAGGCGAACCGATCACTGAGATTCAAAGACAGAGGAACACATGGGTGGAACACTTCGAGGAACTCTTCAATATACCAGGCACACTGAATCCACCATACAATGATGCAGGACACACAGACCATCCTATAGATGTCACTCCATCAACGACTGAAGAAATCAGCATGACCACCAAACAGATCAAGACTGGGAACGCAGTAGGACCTGACTATATACCCGTTGAAGCACTGAAGTCAGATATCGAAGTAAATGCAAAGATGCTCCATGTCCTATTCTGGAAGAACAAGTACCGACAGGCTGAAAAGAAGTATACCTCATCAAGATACAAAAGAAGGGGCAAAGTTTACAACAGAGTGTTGCTTAACCGCGTGAAAGACGCAGTAGACAACCAACTTCAAAATCAACAAGCCGGATTCCGTAAGTATCCATTGTGCACAGACCAAATCACGAGACTATGGATCATCGTCGAACAATCAATTGAGTGGAACTCGTCACTATACATCAACGTTAACATACCTAGACAGCATCATCGATGCACGTGGAGGATCTGATGCATACGTAAACGCGAAGATTGGTAAAGAAAGAGCAACATTCTCACGGTTGGAGAACATTTAAAACTCAAAATAACTGTCAACCTACATCAAAGTCAGAATATTCAGTACGAACGTCTAAACAGTTCCACTGTATGGAGATGAAACTTCGAGAACTACCACAACCACCATCAAAAAGGCAAATTATTTATAAACAATTGTCTACGTAAGATACTGAATGTCCGTTGTCTGAATAACATCAGCAACAGCCTACTATGGGAGAGGACAAATCAGCTTCCAGCTGAAGAAGAAATTAGGAAAAGACGTTGGAGTTGGTGAATAGGACACACATTGAAGAAATCATCAAACTGTATCACGAAGCAAACACTAACATGGAATCCTGAGGGTAAACGGAAAAGAGGAAGGTCAAAGAACACATTACGTCGGGAATTGGAAGCAGACATGAAAATGATGAATAGCAACTGGAAATGATTTTGAGGACGGAGTTCGATGGAGAATCATGGTGGTCTGCCCAAAATCTACCACCAGGGGTAACAGGCGATGGACTAGATTGGACTGATGGTTTGTATAACGTAATTTTTTAGACACCTATGCTGTATATTTGAAATCTTTGACTGAAGGAAAGTGATGTTATGTCGCGATTTGACTAGAAATTCAGCCAATAATCGACACACCTTGGTAATATATTTTTGTGGAACTGGAAGCGAAATACACATAAGATCTAACAGTCTGTTTGTTATACGGTGACATGACTAATAACTGACTGAACCTTGGTTATTAAACACAGTCGGGTATGCAGAGAAATTAAGTGGATAATTAGACGGTGAAAAAACACCGAAGCATGAAGATATTGACAACGTGGTTTTCAAAAATTGCAATCTTACCGGAAAATTGTAGTTCCCATTCTCTTAGGGTTTGCATTTGATCAGCAGTTAGATCAGTAAGGTCGTCATAGTCATTTTTTGTTTCGAGGTTGAAGCATGCAAGTGCTCTTGATGCATCTCTACCGGCAAAAGCAGCGTACGGTGCACCTGAAGCAATGTAATGTTGATTGCCAGCTTACCCTTGCCATAAAATCCCTGTCCTTTATCTGTGACGTCGAATATCTTACCATTAACTGCTATTAATATTCTCTTATGTTCGCCGCTGCCATCGAAACTCTGAAGTTCTTCTAGTGTAAAATCACGTTTCCCCATTTTCGGGACTTCACATTTCTGAGACTTCTTTTTTCTTAACAGTGGCCTTAGACTTAAATAAACAAGCAAAACGCATATTAGGAACAATGTTATGTTAATAGGACACTTGACTGCATCCATCACAGCCACAACGTAATTCCCCTGTTTCGGGCCATCCTTTCCCATTGTAAGGATAACTTTTGAAATGTGTTCGTCGCTTCAAACAACAAACTTTGTTTACTGCAACAGTGCAATTATAAAAAGATGTGATTGTCGTTCTGATATTCCAGAATCTATAAAGATTTCCAGTAAGTGGATTTTTATATTCAGACTGCTGAAGTAATTTGAAAGAATCAAATGACCCTGATCTAAATATTAGACACGAACATAATTTCAGTCTTCAGTAATAAGGATAGTAGGTTGATGAACCTGTGTTAATCCTGACAGATTTCCTTCCAGTGAAGGTCCAGCTAATTTTTGTAAATGTTCACTGATGGTGCTGATACCACTTGTTCTGGTAAAGCGTTCCAGTCATTGACCACTCGATGAGAAAAACGGGACCCCACCTTTAGTTTATTAGATCGCGGTTTCAGAACCTTCTTGCTATGACCCCGGAGATTATTAGTGCTGGAGAGAGCAAAAAGGTAAGACATATTAACACCCAGATCATAATTAAAGATACGAAATGCCAGTATAAGGTCACCTCGCGTTCTACGATAAGATAAGGGGAAAAGATTTAGACGTTTTAAACGCTCATCATAAGGGAGTTTGGAAAGACCCTCTGCTAATTTTGTCCCTACACGCTGGACACGCTCAAGCGATTTAGTATCCTTTATCAGACAAGGGCTAGCTGCTTGGATACAGTATTCTAAGTGTGGCCTTACATAGGTGGGATATAAAATTCGAAACATATCCTCGTCAAAGCATTTAAATGCTCTGCGAAGCGACCATAGCGCTCGATAGCCTTTGGAAGCAACCGCATTGCAGTGCGTAGTAGTTTTTAAGTCGTGACTTATAATTACTCCTAAGTCTTTATGCGCATGAACGCGTGGCAGAGATGTACCATTAATGGTATAGTGGTAATTAATATCGTGCCCGATGTGCATGAACACGCTCTTCCTGGAATTAACTTCCAGGCCCTAATCATGAGCCCACCTAACTAATTCGTCTAAATCTGCTTGTAGATAACAACGATCAGTCTCATTTCTTATTGTTCTCCAGATTTTACATCATCCGTAAACAATAACGTCGACGACTTAAGTAATAAAGGTAGTTCATTAATATACAGAAGGAAAAGTAAAGGGCCCAAGATGGTGCCTTGGGGTACACCACTTCTGACCGGTTTCCATTCGGATAGAGTTCCGTTGACTCTCACTCTCTGTCTGCGGTCATATAAGAAGCTTCCTATCCATTCCTGTATAGCTCGAGAGCTTTTGCATAAGACCTAAGTGTGAAACCTTATCAAACGTTTTGCTAAAATCTATAAATATCACGTCGACAGACTGGCCGTTGTCTAGGGCAGCTGTCCAATCCTCTCTCGCAATGAGTAAGTTAGTCAAGCATGAATGCTTGTTACGAAACCCATGTTGCTCGGGAGTTAACAGATTGTACGAATCTATGTGGCTCAGTAGCTTAGCCCGAATTAATTTTTCAAGTAACTTAACTACTATACTGGTCAGGCTAACAGGCCGGTAGTTAGATACTATCCGTCTGTGACCATCCTTAAATATAGGACTAACTATGGCGTCTTTCCAGTCTCTAGGTAGTTGAGCCTGTGAAAGGGACATGTTGAAGAGCATCGTGAGCGGTCTTGAGATAATGTCCGCAAGCGACGACAGCAAACGTGGGTGTAACCCATCGGGGCCCGGTATCTTACAAGGTTTTAGGTTAGTTATCAAAGGAAGAACTATATCCTCTGTCACGTGCAAAGGTCCTATGGCTGGTATCTCATTGTCAACGGGACAAGTAGTTGTAACACTACACGTAGAGTAGACTTCACTGAAATAGTTAGCAAATAACTCCGCTTTCGCCAGATCAGATTCAGCCAATAAAGCTGAATTTTCGCTTAACAGTAATGAGGGGATACCATCACTACGTTTCGTCCGCCTTTTAACGTACGAAAACAGTCGCTTCGGACAGGTACGGCTATCGTATGCCAACTGTCGTTCGTAAGCCGTGCGGGAATTAGCTATGGTCTTTTTACATATATTCCGGATTTTTTTATATTCGCACTTAAATGATGCCTGACCTGTTGACAAGAATAAGTCCCAGAAGTGTTTCCTACGCTTCAACAGCTTCCGGGTTTCCTTATTAATCCATGGAGGGCAATATGATAACTTACGCGCTGACCATGGGATAAACGGTTGAGTTACGGAAGCATTGGCTTCCAAGACCTGACTACCCGAAAACCCTTAATCGTAAGGTTCGCTTCACCGTTTAGCCTTCGAGTTTTTAACTCTGTTAGGGCATTCTTCCACTTGATCCGATCCTCAAGTGGCCAGTCAGGTCGAATACGAATGTTTGAGTCACGAGTTTTGCGTGAGTTATTTAGTAATACGTCCCTTTCCTCAAAATTACCGAGTACTAATTTGAGGATCCTTCTCTGTTGGGTTTCGCCTCCAACATACTTACCAAGTCTGATGACTTTCGATATATGTACCCCTGGGACCTCCTCTGGCAGTATATTTCTGATGAGAGATCCGACTAACTTCAGGTCGTGGGCATGTCTCTTAGCGGGATCGGTGTCTTTCGATTCTGCCAAGTTCCAGATGATTACACTAGGCACCTGTTTAACTGCCTTAAAAGTCGTGTTCACGGCCTTTGACCGTGATGTCAGATCCTGCCGGTTAGCTACCGGCTTCTTGCTATTAGCTTTCTTTATCACAGTGTCATGTGGGTCAAGTGAGTTACTCCCAACAACATTTGGTGAAGTTAGACTATTTCCATCCACAACAGTATTAAATATTTCCTTACATTTGGACTTGAGCGGAATTGCCTGATGCTCAGGACGTGAGTCCAACGATGACTTACCGACTACACGCGCGCTTTCTTTGGGTATTTTTCCGTCTCTTTTGCGTTTCCGCGTAATCCATTTACCACTATTCTCAGCATCCAGATTGGAACTATTCTGGACGATAGTGTTTCTAGCCGGGTCCTCAGTCGCTGCTAAAACGACTGGTCCCTCAGTACTAAATGGCATGGCTTTCACTGGTTGTACCGGAGTACAAATTTTTGCTTCATGTTGCGAAATTGGGTGTCTGGTACCTGCCATGGCAGCATTTACGACACTGATACAATCTTCATTATCAGTATCCATGTTGCCGGCACGGCCTACTTCGACCTTCTTAGCTAACGCTAAAAGGCTGATGGCTTCCTGAATGAGTAATGTCTTGCTTGAGCAACAAAACATACAGAGCCAATGAGAATTTGGTTTCGAGCACCTTTTATAGGCAGCAGGGCTTAAGCGGGTGCACATTTTATGAAACCACTTCTTACAATCGTCACACTGCATCCCTTCTTCCACGGGGAATAAGCAATATGGCTGTCCACACTTGTGTACAGAGCCGACCATCTTAGAATAAAGCAAAATGATAGGCAAGGTAGATATGTAAGATAAATCACAACCTTATCAAATAAGCAAGCCTCAGTCGACCAAGAATGCTTTGATGCAGTAAATACACAAAAGCAGGATCAAAACACACAAATACAATGTCACGTTAACTGAAATAAATTCAATTAAAGTGTAAACGGTAGTTTTGATACGTAATTTACGATCAAAACAGTGAATTAAACTCAACGTGAAACAATACCATTGTCCTTTTAAACAGGTCTTCAGTAATAAGGATAGTAGGTTGGTGAACCTGTGTTAATCCTGACGGATTGCCTTCCAGTAAATGTACAGCTTCTCCGTGAAAATTTTCGCTGACAGGGCTGATACAACTTGTTCGGGTAAGGCGTTCAGGGCATTGACCACTCGGTTTAGAAAAACGGAACCCCCTCCTTACGCTTATTAGATCGCGGTCTATGAACCTTCTTGTTATGACCTCGGAGATCATCAGTGCCGAAGGGAGCAAAAAGATAAGACATATTAACATCCAAAACATAATTAAAGTTACGGAATTCCAATATAAGGTCACATCATGTCCTACGATAAGAACAGGGGAAAAGGTTAATGCGTTTTAAACGCTCATCGTGAGGGAGTTTAGAAGGACATTTCACTAATTTCATCCATATACGCTGAACACGTTCAAGTGAGCTAATATTCTTTAACAGACATGGACTAGCTGCTGGAACACAGTACACTACGTGTGGTCTTACGTAAATGGGATATAAAATTCGAAACATTTCGTCGTCAAAGTATTTGAATGCTCAGCGAAGTGACCATTACGCACAACAACCTTTGGAAGCAGCTGAGTTTCAGTGTGCAGTCGTTTTCAAGTCGTGACTTATTATTACTCCTAAGTCTTTATGTTCTTGAGCGTGCGGAGCATTTATTCACAACAACCCACCAGATAAATATACAAGAATTCAGGCGATAAAATTGACAAAAATGTTGAACTTTCACCATGTATACTCCTTAAGGCAATCCCAGGGTCGGAGAAATAGCGAAATATTTTATTAGAGATCGAAGTCACGATAATACCAACATTCGAGTAGGATCTGATTTGCCACTAACATTTCGAGAGAGAGAGGGAGACTTGACTCTCACCACTCACGTCCGAATCGGGGATTTGTGTACATATTGAGCTACGATAGATGACACCCAGTATAAATATACAAAATACGGAAGTGAGTTTACAGCTAATTATTTTTCAAGTTACACTATCGTGGAATTCACAAACGAAGGAACAGATAATCGTATTACTAGCTATGTATATTACGACCGTACTCCCTTTCCTACATCTATTCCTATCTTTTCTTAGCTAGTTGTACCCGAGTAATTCTGGGGTGACGTCAAAATCATGGGCTTACCAAGTTTCGGTTACAGCTGCGATGAGGGGCTTCAATTCCTCCACTAATGCCCCTTGGAATTTGTTTCCTGGACTACTAGCATTTCCATATAAATCGTCCAAGGAGAACGATCTATCCATGTAGGTCTTGGCGGTGTTCGTTTCCAAGACCCGAATACCCGAAAATCCATTAAACAGAGATTTTCTCGATCATTTCTCGACAAATCCCTAGTTCAG